GGTTTCGAAACTAGAGCTGGGGAGACAAGATTCTCACATGAAAGATCTTTTTCAGAGAAAAATGCAGAGTTGGAAAAGTGCTTCATACATCTCTGCCCATTTTAATGAAATTTTCATTTAATTTTTACGGAAGGGAAAAATAACAGCTTCCAGAAAATTTGAAAACAACAGCTCACACTTCCAAAACAAAAGCTTTCGATTGCTTTTGGCTTGAAGGAACTTTCTAAATTTCCTCTTTATTGTTAAAAAATAAATGAAAAAGCAAAAGAAAGTTTCAAGTGACCGCAACATCGTTCTTACTTTTTAAACTCTGGATTTGGTGAAAATTGTTCAGACTCTGAACCAGAACCTTTTTTTTTTTTTTGCAAAATTGCTAAGGAAAAATAATATCTGGTTTTCATCCCCCTATAGCAGGAACAGGCCTCAAGACAATTGGCCAGACCCCAGGGGTGGGGAGTGTGCGCACACATGCAGCCTCAACTCCAGTCTCTGTAGCAAAATGTCTGTGAAATGGGAGGGTTAACAAACGTGTAGTGCAGGGTGTCTCCATGGCAGACCAGGGAGAAGACAAGCAGACAGGGCAGGAAGCAGGAAACAGCAGCAGATGGGGCAGGAAGCAGAAAGCAGAGCAGCAGATCAGGCAGAGGAAGGGGGAAATCAGTGGCACTTGTGGGTGAAGGGCTAATTTGTGGCACACCTGCTGAAGGGGTAGGTGCCCACGGATGTAGCAGGTTGCTTGGGGCAGGAGGAGGCATGCAAGTAATGACAAAGAAATCAACCAGTTGCACGGCTCTAACGTTTAGCTTGCATGCGTGTCTGATCTACTTAAGACTGTCAGGGGTAGGGGCCGGGAATCACAACCCTGATTATGTTAATCCTTATACTTAACATAAGCATTTGCCAATTAATAATGAGTACCTAGCACAGCTACATGCTATATGCAGTGTCAGTATAGGAATAGGAAAACCTCTGATACCAATTTCTCCTAGGTTCTTCATATTATTTGAAGACACTCTGGTACAAAATGTGCAGCATCTTAAGAAACAGCATCAGGCTTGTTCCCAACCAACTTTGTATGATTTTCCTTTTTTTGCAACTTCCTTCCTCTTTTTTTTTTTTTTTTTTTAATACTGGCAGGTTCAGAGGTTTCTTGACGTAATTGTGCCTTTTGAAGCTCAATGCTTTAAGATCTTCAATCTAGTGCGTTTACACTGAAGAGTACTGGCCAATTCTGCAGGGAGAGACTAAATTTGTGTTCTTCACTGCAAGTGTATTTAGAGAAACTGCATTCTTGTTGAAAAAGGAGAAAGTGAATTAATGTAGACAGGGCTAAACTAGCCAGAGGAGCCCAAGTGCAGGCTGCTATATTAAATGCCTGTACCTCTCTTGCCCTTCATGAAATTTAAGTAACTGGAAACCATGTGGAGAAGGGAACACCTTTCTGGATAGAAAGAGTCATACGCAGTATTGGACAACAAAATAGAAGATGTGTTATCACACATACCTTGAACTAACCCACGTCCACTGCAAAGCAGTGTAAGAAACCTTGGGAAGTAGTTCAAAGGAAAGCATTTGCCAGAAAACCACCCCACACCTACCCCTGGGATGGCCTATCCTAGTCTCTTGGGTATGACTGGATCCTTATGAATAAAGCTACACGTGAGTTTAGTATTTATAATACATGCCAGTGCAGGATTAGAACAAGGATCAATAGTCTCAAGTTGCAGCAAGGAAAGTTGAGGCTAGATAGTAGGAAGAACCCATGAGGATGGTAGTAAAGCACTGGAACAGGCTCCCTAGAGAGGTTGTGGACTCCCCAACCTTGGAGGTTTTTAAGACTAGAGTAGACAAAAGCTTGGCTGGGATGATGTAGTTGGGGCTGATCCTGTTTTGAGCAGGGAGTTGGACTAGAGGTGACCTCCTGAGGTCCCTTCCCACCCTCATTTTCTATAATTCAGTGCAGAGTCCAGTCAAAGTTAAGTCTGACTCAGGCAGAATCGGCCCCGAGAGTCTGTAACTCTCTGGTCTGAATGTAGGGAATGGCTTCTTTGTTTTGCTGAAACAGGGTAGTGCTGGCAGTTAACTGGGAGCGTAATGAATTGGAGGCACAACAGTTAGCATCTACTAGCAGCTACCCACCCAACACCTGCAAAGCCTGGAGCTCAGTGTTGAAATGCTAGCAGTGCTGGCACCTGCAGTTAAATTACTAACATAACAGCAAAGTGCAAAGCTGCACCTGCGAAAAAAAATAAGATGGCCATTTTCACAAGGTGCCATAGTGTAAACTCTGGTTATTCTGTTCATGAGATAATTCACCCTGCTGTCCTGACTTCCCACCAGTGCCTGTTCCCCCTTATCTTTCCAACACTTAACTGCTAATAACTGGTCACCCCTGGATAATTCACCATAATTTGCATTGCCATTGGAACCAACCAGTTTATGCAGGTGTAACAAAATTCTTCTGGGTTTGTCTAAAGACATTAGGTTATTAAAGCTGGGAACATATTTAAAATGTTCTTTTTCACTAATTGCTGCTGTATCTGCACCCTTCTCAGTTTGAAGGTGAAAACAGATTCGGGAGTATCACTTTGTTCAGCATTCCTGGGGAATTTCACTTCCAGCTGAACCAGCTTAAGGCTACAATTTTTGGGCTGCAAATACAGCAGGAGAATGTTTAGCTTTAGACAACTCCTATTTTCTTTTTCTTCACAGGAATAGGCTATATATTTACACTGCCCCAATCGCCACACCATAGAGGCAACGATTGTTCCTACATTTGTTAAGTTTCTTTTTGTAAAACCAGTCTGGGGCAAACTTGGACTTACTGCCAACTTAAAAATAAAATGTATGCTGTTCTTTTGCAACACATGGTGCCTGTTCAAACAGCCATTTCTCAAAAGCTGACTGCCTGAAGTAACACAAAAAGAAGAATGGCGAATCCAACTGCTTTCTCCAATTTTGGTCCTTTGTTTAAAAAAAAAACAAACCACCCAAAAAGTTAAAAAAAGCACTGTAGTGCCTGAATACTGCACCTGCCATCCAACTCTTTTTTTCATACTGCAGGTACGAAAAAAACTCAGACATTTCTCAGGTGAACGGAAAACTTATGTTTCTTCTTGTACAGAGAATCTCAGACCACTTTTTAATCTCATTGGCATTATGTTTAACTGTAGTAAACCATGGTCTTTAAAGGAGTTTATATTAGCTTTCTCCAACATTAGGCTCTGGCCATACAAGTCTCCACTGGAGTTTGCCCTTCAGTGAAGCCTGCAATAGAGAACAAAACAAGTTAAAAAGGTTTTTTTGGGGGGGGGGGGGAA